TTGGCTTAGTGGTTAGAGTCATGACTTTGAGATCGGAAGGTCTCAGGATCGAATCCCACCGGTGGCAAGGATTTTTATTTAATTAAAAAAATTAAATATTAATTCTAATGCATAGGTAGGATTCCCCACTCGACCATTCACTGTTGGGTTCTAATTAACAGTGCTGTTCCTAAAGTGGCGCTGGGAAACAGTAACAAAGCCTACAAAAAAAAAATCGTCAGTGTGGATTCTATTCATTAATAGTTAGACCTAGGAATATATGCACTAGACTGGACCAAAAAAATAAAACAATTTTTTTCTTAGCGGAACTATGAAAATATTGTTCATGACGACAAAAAAAAAATTTCCTGAAAATTTGAGCCCTTAATAATAATATTAAGAGGTGCATCATTGCAGTTATTGATTTTTCAACAGTTGTCGCGTTTTTGCATAAATTTCGTATTGGTCAATTTAAAAAAAAAAATTCATCTCTTATCCTTGCAGGAAATTAAATTCCCCACAAAAAAGCTCTCTTAGTAAATTTTCGTAAGACGAGTCTATTCTTTGTAATCGAGCCTTAAACATTGGTATATATTTTCAATTTTTCACTTTGCATTTGGGATTTCCAAAATGAACTTAAATATTAAGATTACAAAGAATAGACTCGTCTTACGAAAATTTACTAAGAGAGCTTTTTTGTGGGGAATTTAATTTCCTACAAGTATAGGAGATGAAAAAATTTTAAAATTGACCAAGTCCGAAATTTATGCAAAAACGCGACAACTGCTGAAAAATAAGTTCAAACCCCCTCCCAAGAAAAGTTATTCCACCGCCAATGGGTGCCGATACAGTTTTGAAAAAAAAAATTATAACAGATAACTACCAGTAGTTAGGGGTCATAACTAAAAGAACCAAAAACTTTTAAACGCGATATATTGGGAAAGGGTGGGATGGGGTGCATTTTAAGTGTTTTGCGGAGAAATGTGAGCTCCTAGCGAGAACTGTTCAATACAAAATTTGTAGACAATAAAAAAATCTAAAACTTTTGTATATGACGTTTTCCAACATAACATCAAATTTTCCAAAAAAAATGGCGAAAAACCGATTTTTAATATTTTTCTAGCGTAAAAATAATTTAATTGATATGAAATTTCGTGAAAAATGAATGAATTTTTTTAATTTCAAAAAATAAGTAGTTTCCCAGATATTATATTTACATTTTTCGAAAAAAATACTTTAAACTTCCACGGAAAACTTTATTGATGTTCAGGGTCGACAAAAAGGGGGACAGCCGGGACTAATTCCCGGGGCCCGGGCCCGGCAGTGGTATAAGGGGGGCCCGGCATCATCCGTGGCGAGGATTTTTTTCTTTTAGAAGTTTGGCATAAGGCAAGAGGGGGAAGTTTTTGGTTGAGGTTTTTTTTAGATTTTTTTTTTTAGATTCTTTTTTTAGAAAATTAAAGTAGAGGTGGAGAAGTTTTTGCTAGAAAACCTTTTTTTTTTTGTAGAAAATTCAAGTAGAGGAGGAGGAGAAGTTTCTGCTTGAAGACCTTTTTTCTCGGTGGCCCTGTTGATGTTTTTTTCTCGGTGGCCCTGTTGATGTTTTTTTCGATTTCAAGGTTTTATAAGGGCCAAGGTCTCATTTTAACCGTTGAAATGTTTACTTTCAGATGGTCTATACATGTTAATAATTTATTTTTGATGGAATCAAAAAATTGAGAAAATTGAGGAAATTCTCAATATTTTTAATTATTTTTGTAACTCTTTAATTTTTTGTATTTTGTTGTTAATAATGGGTTACGTTTTAATGAAAAAACTTGAATACTTATAATATTATTAAAATTGAAAAAAATGTAAATTTTTTTAAAGTTATGAAACTTCAAAATTGGAATTATAGCTTCCATTACAAATTAATAATGGCGTGTTTCAGGGTTTTAGAATTTTCATACTTTAATGGAGGAAGGGGGGGGGAGGGGCGTGAAAGTGTATCGATTTTTTTAAAGGTAGCAACTTGAAAATTGGAATTGCACCTGCTCCTTATAAATAAATAAATATGTTTTAAGGTATTTGGATTTTTACATATTAAAGGGGGAAACAGGAGGTGAAAGTTTGTATGAAACTTTCGGTTTTTTAAAAGTAGAAACTTGAAAATTGGGATTGTAGATACTCAGAAGTTTTACATTTTAAGAAGGGGGAGGAATGGGAAGTATCGTAAAAATAAATAATAAACAAAAAAAAAATAAAAATGAATAAAAATAAATAAAAAAATACGTAAAAAATAAATAAAAAATAAATTAAAATAAAATAAATAAATAAAAATAAATGAAAATTATTAAAAAATAATAAAAGACTCTTTAGAAAAAAATAGGAATTCTCTAAAATGGAGTCTGATGGCAATTCGAAATTCAGTCGAACACAATACCAGCAGGTTGGGCCTGTATAGATTTTCAACGAGCGAAAATTATATTTCCAGATGTACCTAGTAAGCAAAATCAAAGGTCGCTTAGCTAAAGAAGTAGTTGTTGTCAAAAGAGAAACGGCTGCCCATATTATTGTGACAGTATTTTTTAACTGTGTATAGAAATCGTTAAAATATATATCTTTTTCAAATTACTTTCATTCAAAAAACTAAATAATAAAGATACCGAATTAAAAAATATAAATCCGGATCTGTACTTATGTATGAAAAGTTAAGCTAAATAAGAAGTGTTTTTATATTTTTTACTGTTGCTTTTCGGGTTTTCTTATGAATCACACTTCATTGTGTAGCGGTTATTGTTATTCAGTCGGATATTTATCTGAAGTAGTGAATTTAAATTGTTGTGTGGTAAATTATGATAATAAAGTTCAACGCTGTATCTGTTCCAGAATAAATTAATTTTCTCATTTTAAAATATTCTCGCTTATTTCGAACTTTGACCACACCAGCGCTTCAAGAACGTAAAATCAGTGAAGTGACCTTGAATCAGAACAAGCAAATCAATTGCTTATATACACTTCGAGATGTGCCGTGTGTGTCGCCATACATGCTGACGCGAATAATACCGCTACGACTGTGTTACCTATTTCTAATCATAACGTGAAGAATTTAAAATTCTGTCTTTAAGTACGATACGTAAAATAGCAAAGGTGAACTTGTTATTCAACGTGATAAATAATATATAAACTGTAGCAGACTACTACATACCATTTCATGTCCCTCCTAAACGCACACGGAACTCCCTAATATTCAATATACAAAACTCTGCTGGTTCTCCACTTTATTCAATACTGTGTTTGGCCAATAATATTAATACTATAGTAAACTTAGATTGGTCTCTGTCTTTAATACAATTTAAATAGTTGATAATATCTTACTTCGATAGGTACCTTTGGAATTTAAATAATATAAATAACAACTACTTTAAAAACATGTAAAATTTCTTAAAATTATTTAATTCTACCATTTAAAGTGATTTATCCTCTGCAATTAAAATACTGTAATATTATGTCACCTGTAAAAAATTACTTAAATTATACTATCCATGTAATTAGGCTAGTTAAGCCTGTTTGGATTTTTATTAAATAAATAAATAAATAAATAATCAGGCCAATTCTGACTGTGCTTATACCACCGCTACTAGAAAGAACCATTCTTCGGCTGAATATGTAGGTAATATTAAGGTAAGCCTTTTGGGCAGTACTATCTAATTCATTCTAATACAGTATCGGTGGTGTACAAGTGAACATTTTCCCTTGCCAGTCCATCATAGTTCCAGAAGTGATTTGCAGGAACATCATGATGACATGTAGGAAGACCCAGAAGACATAAAGTGCGTTTGTGTTGAACTGAATAGTGAGGACTTTAAACACATTATTTAAGTTAGGACAGAATTGGATTCATTTTGGAATAAATGAATGTAACTTTTTTATTCAGATGCGAAAGTCGTCTCTGTTCCTTGTTTATTCCTTGCCCGCGGTATAAAGTCTAGCGCTGGCCATATAGAGATAAACGCACCGCTTCGAGAAACTACCGGATTGATAACTTTGCAGCGTATCATATAGTCATAGAGAGACAGTTTTCGATTGTTTTGGAAAGCCGAGAGAGTTCTAGTACAGAGCTGGCTGTATATAAATAGCCAGACAGAGAAGATTTAAATTAAGGGTTGGACAGAAAAGATATAAATTGTAATAAATAAATTAGAATTGTGAGTTAGTGCCTAAGTATTGTATAAATTACCTAATTGGTACGTTATAAATAAATAAATTAAATAAACGTAACATTATTTTTGAGTTTTTTGAAATAACTTCTATATAAAAAAAGTATTAACTTTAGTAATCATCGAACAGACTTAATAACATAATCAATAAAGAATTAATTAGCTACCTACCTTTCATTTAAAATCACACAATATAGGTAGTTATATCTGTATGTTCTGGGCCTGGTACCCCCTTCCTTTCGTAAATGGATACAAAAACCGCCACTGCAAACTTCCTACTACTATCTTCGCCACTGTGCGAAAACATACATGTTCATACATTCTTGAAATATTCGCAACTATACCCTTCATTTTCTGTGCTAATGTTCCGAATCCTATAATATAAAAATGATTTAAGTAGATACCTACCTTACCTATTAAAAAAATACACAAACACACACACATACATACAGTTTGAAATTCGTACCGCCTCGCTTCTAGCACCCTCTAGCAAAGCAAGAACACTAACCAGTAACCGAGCGCGACGAGTGGCGCCCTCTTAGCGGCGATAAAACCTTCCGCTCCAATGATCAACTAATTCACGGAAATCGATCGTTTGGCCACGCCTACGAAACGTCGTCATTGGCCGACTGGCTACGAGATCGACAGCGATTGGCCGCTAGCCGTACCCGCTGACAATTGTAAACACCTAAAAAGGTGTAGTACGGCGGCTCATATGGTCGTATGATAGATTTTCTGAGTTGTTGCCTGTATGATTCAGTTTAACTCGTGGAGTGTTGAAAGTGACACTAAATTGGTTATATAGTTGACCTTTTCTTTCGAGTTACATAGTTGAGTGTGCTTTGGATTATTGATGGCTCATTGAATTTCCAATACTTACATATCTAGTCGAGTATTAAAACATTGCTTAATTGTGTAAATGATTTACTTTCGTTAAAATCGAGTATTTTCTAGTCCTTTTATAAAAAAAGAGTATTTACTATTAACATTTTATAATAAATGACGACAAGCTGTGAATTTTAGAAGTGCAATTGTATTAAATATTAAATATAGAGGTGAGTGTTTTAATTCTTCAAATTTATTTGACTGTTTTTTATTTCTTGCCTTCTAGTGTACCTATATTAAAATATTTTTAAAACCAAACAATAAAATAGACAATTAACGTCGCTTTCGAAAATAAAAGACCATTATTAGGTATTACCATTACCTCCGGTCTTGATTTTAAAAATGTTTTTGTGGTTACCCTCAATTAAATATATAAACAATTAGATTTCTACATAGGTATTTATCATGAGTTACTAATTTAAATAAAACAAAATACCAATTGAGGACCTTGGTGTAAGAATGGGGAGCTCTAACTCTATGTAAAAACCAAGTTTAATAGATTGGTGTTTGAAACGATAATAAATAGCAAAAATATTAAACTGTTTTACTTTATAATCAGTGCAAAAGATCAATTTCTTTTTTAAATTTAGTGCAAGAGAGAATCAGCTCCAATTGTTTTTTGCATTTCTTTATTTCAAGCAAATAGGTAGGTACTTATATCTATCTATCATCAAGAAAAGTTGCAAATTACCTACCTACATGTACCTAAATATGTCACCATTTGATTAGAATGTTTTAGTTTTATTAAAACCTGAGATAATTAAAAAAAAATCGTAGGTATTTCTGAAAATGGAACAGCCCCCTTTTTGCAGTAAGATCCTCAATTATTATATTTACGAAGGCACCTACACGACCAATTAGGTTAACTTTACAGGATGGCTACAAAGTCGGTTGAATGGGAAAAAAAATTGTACCTTTGCAAGACTAATTTAGTGATTTTTAAAACCAAGACCATCAGGTCCGGTTTCTAAGATATTGAAGGAAAACCAAATGACTCTATTTTCGATTTTTGATTGTATTGCCTTTATTTTACAAATTAGAAAAAAAAATTAATTAGAATTTTTAATTGGTATTAAGTAGCGCTTAATTTACCGTAGACAGATTTTTAATAGAACGTTTCGTTTCTGGAGGGCCACCATCAAGTATATTTTTTTGAATACGGACATGCATTTTTTATTCCATTTTATAAAAGTAGATTTAATCATAAATTCAACCGTGTAATACACATTAGCAGTTTAGGACGGTTTGATACTTTTTATTATTGCTATTGTCATTATAAATTATATTGTTTTAATACAGACCTGTATTTTTTATTATGCTTTTTACTTTCCTATCTGTATACAGATTACAGATATAAGGAAAGTATAGGAATCAAGATTTTTTTCGACCTCGAGTTTTTGATAGATTTTTACGTTTTGAGGTCCCCTGAATCCGTTTTGACTATTTTCGCGATGATGTCTCTGTGTGTCTGTGTGTCGCATAACTCATGAACTGATACACATAAAAACACCAAATTTTAAACTTAAGCTTTGTTCCAGCATCTAATGAGCTGATTAGATTTTGGGCAGAGTCGGAACATCTGGGGGGGTACTTTATGGGTGGCCATTTTTTAATTGTTCAAACAAAAGTTGTTTATAATATAATTCTCTATAATTTTTATCCTATACATAATTTCTCTAAAATGGACCGTATTCGAGATATTTGAGAAAATGTGTAAATTTCGAAATTTGAAGAGAACTCAAAAACGGATAAAGAAAAAACATTAAATTTTAAACTTAAGTTTTATTTCGGCCTGACGTGAAATGATTAGATTTTGGACAAAGTCGGAACATCTGGGGGGTACTTTATGGGAGGTCGTTTTTTTATTTTATGGAATACCTATATCTGTTACTTAGGTTTGGAAAAAAAAATTGTTCAAATAAAAGTTACTTCTAATATTATTATCTATAATTTTTGTTTTATGTAAAAATTTCCTGAAATGGTCCGTATTCGAGAAATTTGACAAAATGTCCAAAATTCTGATTTTTATGAAAATTGTTGAACTAAAAGTTGTTTGCGATATCGATCTCTATAATTTTTGTTTATGCATGATTTTTCTAAAATGGACCGTAATGGAAAAATTGTAGGAAAAGTGCTAAATTTAAATTTTTCAGTATTTTCGTTTTCAATGAATATCTATAGAAAAATGTTTCGAGGTATAGATGTATGTGGAAAATGTATATATTTAGTTTATCCTCTAAACATTTATAGAGGTGCTGCAATAGGTTGTACAAAATAACCGGAAAAAGCCTGTAATAACTAGATAGGAAAGTCATGTGTTGGACACATCAGATTTTTTACTTAGATTAAGTACTACTAAAACTACACTCCTAAAATTATTTTTAAATTAATCACAGTTTCGTTACATCTGCTTCTTTTACCAAACATTTAATAGGAATTGTACCTGAGCCATACATGTTGTGTTAAAGAGGGATGTCGATTAATGAGTATTTTTTTCTATTTAACAATCTAGAATTTGTCAAGGTAGTTTCATCTTTCCATAGAGGATGTAGGTATTATTAATCTAGAGTAATCTATTTTTATTGTGACGAATAAAAAAGTAAAACTTGAAGAATTACTGTAAAATGATTTTATAATCTATAAATATTTAAATAAATAACGAAAAAACCACAGTATAAAATAGAAACAAAAAGGAACGATAAGCAATTTTACAAAAATTGTTTAAAATGTTTTCTATTTTTTTGAATGTATGATTACATTTTTTTATATTTGCATCCAGTAGGTCTTAAACACAAATGCTTAGGTATTAAATGTTACAAATGTCAGTTCATGTAAGTTTTTTCTTTAAAGTGTTTTGGCATTACAAAATTTAGTTAATTAATAAATTTCTCGTCATGGTCCGTTACTCTTCAGAAGAAAAAAAAGACATGTATGATATTTTTATTAAACATAACAGAAATGTTGATGTAGCAGTTCAGGCATAAGCCAATTTATATTTAGAGAGGAATCATCCAACAAGAAATACTATTTATGGGGTACGTATCTAATAATTTAAATGAAACTGGTAGTGTCTTTAAATTAAATAAAAAACATAAGAGAAGAGGAACTGTAAACGATATAAATGTATTGGCATTAGTAAATGTAAATCCCGAATATTTAACATATTGCAACACAATGCGGGATATCGAAAGCGAGCGTCAAAAAAATATTAAAAATATATAAATATCACGATTACAAATACCACACAGTACAAAAATTACACAGAGAAGATCCTGTCCGTAGGTTAACTTTCTGTAACTGATTTCGACGAAAATTGAATAATAATAGATCATTCTACAAAAAATATTCTATGGACAGATGAAACTACATTTACAAATATTAGCCGAAATGCAATTACTGCTTCGAAGAAAAATGTTGTTTATGCAAGATGGTTGTGAAGCCCATAATGCCAACAGCGTAAGAAATTATTTAAATCAGCTATTTGGAAGGAAATGGATTGGAACAAAAGGCTCTATAAGATGGCCACCACGCTCGCCTTGCTTAAATCCAATGGATTATTTTGTTAGGGGATACCTAAAAAATTTAGTGTACTACACCCAGACAGCACACGACATCTTAAAGACGTCTGTTTTATGTCGTAGTTATGACTGAACGCCTAAAGACCTAAAAAATACGTTGTAAAGACGTCTTTTAGGACACATAAACAGACGTCTTAAAGACGTCTTTTGAATGCCTATCTATTTAAAAAATATAAAAAATAATGGTAACTTTAAAAAAAGTACCTACTGGCTTACTTGTCGTTTCTAATTTCATAAAATATAAATTTATTTTTAATTTTTTTTTATTAATTTACATAATTTACTTATTTTTTTTATTTATTCACGAGCATTTGTTCATTAGAGTAAGTAAATATTTGATAACATAAAAATAATAATAATAAATAAATTTAACAATTAAAACATAAGACAAATTGAATTACGCGCTCTTTCACCTTGACCGGAACTTGGTTCAACGATCGAAGCGAATGTTTATTATGCTTTGTCTTTTTTCAACAGTAGAATTTAAACAAGGACGTGTATATGAATGTATTATTGGGGTTCCGTGGTTCGTGGTTCTGAGTTGTCCTTTCGTTGTCATTTGTCGGTTTGTCGTTGATGTTGAAGATGAACGCCGAGAGGTTAGTTTTTGTTGGTTATTCGTTGATTTTTTACTTTCCTATCTGTATACAGATATAAGGAAAGTATAGGAATCATGATTTTTTTCGACCTCGAGTTTTCGACGGATTTTTACGTTTTGAGGTCCCCTGAATCCGTTTTGACTATTTTCGCGATGATGTCTGTGTGTGTGTGTGTGTGTGTCTGTGTGTCTGTGTGTGTGTGTGTGTCTGTATAACGCATAACTCATGAACCGATACACGGAAAAACACCAAATTTCAAACTTAAGCTTTGTTCCAGCGTCTAATGAGCTGATTAGATTTTGGGCAGAGTCGGAACATCTGGGGGGGGTACTTTATAGGTGGTCATTTTTATATTTCATGGAATATATCTGTTATTTACGTTTGTAGAAGAAAATTCTTCAAATAAAAGTTACTTTTAATATAATTATCTATATTTTTTGTTCTATGCAAAATTTTCCTAAAATGGTCCGTATTCGAGAAATTTGACAAAATGTAAAAAAAATAATTTTTTATAAAAATTGTTTAAATAAAAGTTGTTTGTAATATAATTCTCTATAATTTTTATTCTATACATAATTTCTCTAAAATGGACCGTATTCGAGATATTTGAGAAAATGTGTAAATTTAGAATTTTGAAGAAAACTCAAAAACGGATAAAGAAAAAAACATTAAATTTTAAACTTAAGGTTTATTTCGACCTGACATGAAATGATTAGATTTTAGACATAGTCGGAACATCTGGGGGGGTACTTTATGGGAGGCCACTTTTATATTTTATGGAATATATCTGTTATTAATGTTTGGAGAAAAAAATTGTTTAAATAAAAATTACTTCTAATATTATTATCTATAATTTTTGTTCTATGTAAAAATTTCCTGAAATGGTCCGTATTCGAGAAATTTGACAAAATGTGCAAAATTCTGAATTTTATGAAAGTTTTTGAAATAAAAGTTGTTTGCGATATCGATCTCTATAATTTTTGTTTATACATG